AGAAGAAGTTGAGGAACCAGCTTCTCTCGAATATTATTTCTCTATCCTCCAATTATCGGCGCTGTGGCAAATTAAATCAGGTCTCAAATATGCGACCACCCACCTTCCCCTTCATCCCGATTTCACCCCCGCTATCCAGATCCAGCTCTCACATCAATATGACATAAAAAAAATGGGCCGAACCCACTTTCCGACAGTTTGTGGGGCTTTCCCTCAGCAAATTGACTTTGCGGGACGCTGAGCAAATGGGTGTTGTGGCCTATCATAAGCTCATACAGCTCAAATGCAAAGTCAATGACTTCAAAATCGCGATAGCCTTCCACCCTACGGTAGTTGTCCACTCCTTCGGCTGCATGGATGAGCCTGTATGCTCGCGGCTATGGGAGTCGTTTTGGTGGAGGGGTTATTCGAAACAGCTCCTGATACCCAACAATGTGATGACGCCAGCCGCAATCTTACTTGAAGTCAACACTACAAAGGGCCTTCTTGCACATATGCCGTGCACGTGCATTCAGAACATGATGGAGTCGATCTGGGAAAGCAACCCGTTCAACAACGAGCAGGAGTATGTGGAAGAGGCATTGAAGGACCTCTCTGAGTGGATGATGACGCTTTGAATCCGGGGCAAGGGTTTGCAGCGGGGGCGGTTTTCCTTTGAGTTTTTGACACCCTTTGCTAGCCTACACATTCCTTCATCCTTCGAATAGTAGGCTTGCACGTGGAAGATCTCCATTGTGTGGCTATACCTCCAGTGTCCACGCTGGGGCAGGAAGAAGTCAAAAAAATGCTGTTATTGAATTGAAACAAAAAATGTACGTGGGACACAAAACAGGCCGTCCATCAACCATCCGTGACGTTAGGCATCAGGTTTGACATATCGAGTGGCCGGGCACAGTGGCCATGGTGGGGGGCGCTTGAGAATAAGGCACGGGCTCGGCGTGATGAGGTGGCTCGGCCCGACAATCCACTCGTTGAGGTCAGTGGGCGTGGACGGCATGCAAGGGGAAGGAATGGGTGCAGAGTGGACGGTGTGGAAGGTGGCAAGCTGGCATTCGGGCGATGAGACTTCGCACTGTCAAGAAGGTGAGTATGATAAGGCAAGACTAACTATGGCTGGTGCACCACCCACAGGCGGGAGCTCTCCAATACTCGTCGGAGTAAGGGCCCGGGGATCTTGTTTGCATGAGCAGACTTATGTAGAGACGTGTCTCGTGTGAATTCAACAAACGACGGTGGGTGGCTGTGGTAAATGTTGCTCTTGTTTGTCCTGCCACGCATCCAAGCAACGGCAACGCTGTGGCCATCTAGCGTTGCAAGCTGCCTTCATGGACCCCTCACCACATCCCACCACGCTACTACTATGCTTCACTTCACCACGCCGTCACTCTGTGTAGCGTCCTCATGGAAGACATGCCATTCAGAGGATGGGTTTTGGGTTTTCATGAGGCAGAGCGGCCAGAGCGGTCTTTTTAAGTAAGTTACACTTGAATGTTATCTCTCCCTGCCCTTGAATTTGTTCTTCTCTTCAGGAAATAACATAGGACGAGGATTGGCAACTTTACATTATGCATATCACATAGTGTATACTTTAGACTATTGGTAGTGGTTTCCAATTGACGGGCACTCACGCGCGCGCTAAATCACTCGTGCACGCGCAAATCAATATTTGTAAGGTAGGGCTCAGCCATAAGCAACCCACCCCACGTGATCGAGTGTGACACTCCTTTTTTGGAAGTGTCCTCTTGCCATCACAATAAAACCCGAATTTCAGCGTATCGGTCGACATCGGAGACAAATTGGCTACGAAGAACTCTTGATATAGGTCTCTAGTGACATAATACAAAATTTTGGTCCGTATCCTTGAGTTACCGGACCGCTGAAAGCTGATTACTGCCGGAATTGCCGGAATTTGGTCACCTCTCGTACACGCCAACTTCTCGATGCCACGCCTTTCCAAAAAACACGCCTCGGCACGGCAGAACTGGCAGTCAGCGAGTCAGGCCATCAAAACAGGTGCTAAGAGGGCCTTGGAGATATTGACACCACGAAAAAAGAAGAGGAGAATTGCGGTCGAGAAGGAAAATGTATGTGCCATTTTTACTTTACATTTTTCAGTCCCTCACAAAACTAGGATACGGAGAGCGTTGACTTCGGCCTGTCCGAGGATAATGTTACTGAATCTCGGCCATCCCCGAGTGCTTCGTGTCATGATGAAGACTTTTGGCTGTCGCCTGGACCAAGCCTTCCCCGCGCCTTCGGTGATATCCCAGCTGATGCCCGCTCCCAATTTGGGACTTTCTCCACCAACGCTCGGGTATCCCCTTCGAAATCTTCATCTCTGGGCAGGATCTGGCACGAATTTACGCCACGCCTACTCAATAGACTATCCCCTTCCCGAAAATCCGCGCCTCCGCGGGTTTTTGATGACGACGAGTCAATTCTTGCACAGAGATCTCCCCGTCCTGCTCGGATGCTTGGCGACAACTTCAGTGTTGACTCTGATAGCTTGAATTTCGAGTTCACTTCTGCTCTTCCCGCTGGTTACCATCGGAAATCAGTAGACTTTGCGTCGCTGAACTCAGCTGACTTTGCGTCGCTGAACTCAGCTGACTCTGCGTCACTGCACTCGAGGTCTAACGACTCTGGGTCAATAACAGATATTCCTGTTCCCACTTCGCTGCCAGCCATGGATGCGGACTTGGCTGAGCGTGCACGTCTGCGAGAGATGGCCACTGCTGCTGCAGATGGAATTCTACGCCAGGCTCCCACTGTCGAGTCTGCTCTTAAAGCTCTGGCCGATATTGGGAAAGTTCTTCGCCCCCCTCGGAAGAAAGGACCCGGATACATTGACCCTAACATTGACCCCTTCACACGCTCGCGTATCGAGGGAATACAGAGCCTTCTTGCCCTGTACACCCATCCTTCATCTTCTACCCACGGGCAGTGGAAGAAGGCTGCGATGAATGCTGCGATCACGTTGCGGCGTGGAAACTATTGCGCTCGCGTGTTACGCCGACTGGCTCGCCAGTATATTGCCGATCGGACAGTTCTGCCAGAAAACCCATATGGCAATTGGAACGAGACACTTCTCATTAACGAGGACCTCTGCAATGAACTGATGGAGTATTTGCAGCTCCTTGGTTCGACGAAAGATGAGAACGGCCGGGAGTCTGGGATTACGGCTGCCAAAGTACAGGCCTGGCTTGCACGCCCAGACATCATGCAGAAGTACGGCTACACCAAGACTATCTCACTCGCCACAGCAAAGTGCTATCTGCATGCTCTTGGCTTTCACTTTACATCACTGACGAAGGGGCAATATGTTGATGGGCACGAGCGGGCAGATGTTCGTGCGGACCGTGACAAAGTCTACATCCCAAAATTGTCTGACTTCCGCACTCGCATGCGAGTTTTTGACAAAGATGGGAACGATATCACTGTGGAGGTCGAAGGAATGGTTGCTTCTGGCAAACGAGTCGTGATTTGGTACCATGACGAGTCAATTTTCTACGCCCATGACCGCCACCGAAAATCCTGGCGGCATAAGGACGCATCAATCAAGCCGCACAAGAAAGGGGAAGGTGTATCGCTAATGGTTGCTGATTTTGTCTCTGCCGATTTTGGGTGGCTTGTGGGGCCACAGACAAAACGTTCAGCCCGTGTTATACTCAAGCCTGGCAAGAACCGTCATGTGAGTCCGAAAACCTATGTACTATCATTGTTAACACGATTTACAGGGTTATTTTACCAACACCGACATCCTTGCGCAGGTACGCATTGCCATGGAAATCCTTCCCGAGTTTGGCGATGACATTGAACACATCTTCGTCTACGATAACGCAACCACACACAAAAAATGTGCTGACGACGCCCTGTCCGCACGGAAGATGCCCAAAACAAAGCCAACTGTGTATAAATCCGGGAAGCAAGCTGGCCAAATGTGACCCAACTTTCTTGTCGAGGTCACTGCTCGGACTCCTGATGGAAAACCCATCTACAACTCCGACGGGTCTTTCCAAAAGGAGAAAATTCGAATGACGGGTGCAACCTTTCACGATGGGCGGCTGCAGTCACTTTACTATGAGACTGGACCGGATGCAGGGCTTTTCAAGGGGATGGAGAAAATCCTTACTGAGCGGGAATTTTATGTCAAGGGCAAGCGCGCTGAGTGTGATAATTTCCAGTGCCCGCTTGACACTGATGGTAAACATCATGACTGCTGCATGCGTCGGATGCTCTTTAACGAGCCCGACTTTGCTGCAGTCCAGTCCTTGTTGGAGCAGGAGTGTGCTTCCTGTGGTGTCTCTATCATCTTTCTTCCCAAGTTCCATTGCGAGCTCAATCCAATTGAGCAGTGCTGGGGATACTCGAAGCGGTTGTATCGTTTATGCCCGGAGTCATCACGAGAGGAGGATCTTGAACGGAACATGGTTGATTCCCTGGCTGCCATTCCTCTGGTTTGCATCAGAAGGTGAGTTGTACTTAATTTTCATGATCAGTACTGACTTGTACCCAAGGTTTTGCAACAGATCCCTTCGCTACGCAGATGCCTACTCAAAAGGCCTGAATGGCCGTGAGGCTGCATATGCCACAAAAAAGTACCGGGGTCACAGGTCCATTCCAAACGACTACCTTAATGATTTCGAGCAGTCTGGGGCCATAGAAGCTTTTAAAGAGCTTCGCAAATTGTAATTACCGTGAAATTCTGCTTGTTTTCTTTTCAGCAGTCTCAATTCTGTTTCAAAAATTACATAGAGCTAGATTAAATGACTTAATGTATCATAGAACAAATCTTCGTATGCACTTTTCGAGTAGGATACCATTGTGTTGAAAAACGGTCGAAACAATCTCATCGTTCCCGATTTGGAGCGAATCAGTAACGCGTGACATCAATCACGTGGGGTGGGTTGCTTATGGCTGAGCCCTACCTTACAAACGAACCGTCATAGTACAAAGGCTCTTCCCGATGCCATTAATCCACCATCCCAACACCCTTCGAGACACCTATGGTGAAGCGGTTATCATGCTTGCCTTCCATGACGGAAAATGATTTGACTAGCAAGCGGCAGGGGTTCGACTCCCCTTGGGTGTACTTTTTGTTCCCTCATCTGAGGATGCTATGGGGAGATGAGGACGCCGCACAAAAGTTTATACATACCGGATAACCGCTTCAACATTGGGGTGTTGAAATTAGGTGGTATATGCCACTACAACTCTGTCGGGCATTTCCCCGCGGAGCGATTGTGGTTGGGCCATTTTCTCGCGGAGGTGGCGGTGTCTCTATTATTTCTCGCGGAGCGATCAGGGCCTCGCACTTGGCAAAAAAAGCAAAAATTGGACTGATTTAACTCGGCACTTTTTTCACCAGCAACAGCACTTCCTTTGCAAGAAAAACGATCACGGACAACTAGTCTAGGGAGAGCGTCTTGTGGCAGGGTTTGGTAGAGCTTGAGTGTCATGCGAAGCCGTCAGGCGAGGTCTCAGATTGCAGAGATTGAAGAAGGCAAGAAGAAGGCAATTGCAACTTTGCAACCAAGACTCGTCGCCGTTCGCGATCAGTTTAGCCCTAACCCTAATAACGACCTTCTCACCTCGATGCTTCGGCGCACCCAGGGCGTCATTCGACCCGCGTTCGCTCGCAGCCTATTTACTCGGACACCCGTTCCTCGCACGCCCATTAGAACTGGTCTTTATAGCACCGTATTCGTTCTTTCTGCTGGGCTTTTCGCAATTTACTATCTGGATGCCCGCTCGGCCATCCACCGCTATGTGTTCACCCCGCTGTTGAGACACACACTCGACGCGGAGACCGGGCACAAAGTTGCCGTCCAGGTCCTGAAAAGCGGCCTTGGTCCGCGCGACCCTGTGGAAGACGACGCACGGCTTAAATCGGAGGTTAGTTCGCATGGCTTAGTGTCGAAACGAGGCCAACACAATGCTAGTTATGGGGACAAGAAATTTCTAACCCTGTCGGTTTGGCGGCCGGTTTCGATAAAAACGGGGAGGCAATAGATGGTTCGTTCGTTCTATCAAATCACAGGATACGAATGCCCATAATTGTTCAGGGCTTTTCAATCTCGGATTCAGTTGGGTAGAGATCGGGAGCGTAACACCCAAGCCCCAGGTGCGCCTCGTCCTCAAATCCGTTTGGTATTTGACTGATATTTTAGCTAGCCAGGAAACCCTCGGCCGCGTGTCTTCCATTTACCAGATGATTCTGCCTTCATAAACCGTTATGGGTTTCCTTCCGAAGGACACGCCTCTGTCCTCTCGCGTTTACGCGCAAGAATACCCCGCTTCTTTGACGACGAAAATGGATCTGCTGCCTTTCGCCCAGGTGCGATGCTCGCCGTCAACTTGGGTAAGAACAAGGAGTCCTCGGTGGAATCAATCGATGATTTTGTAGCTGGCGTGCGAACCTTTGGCCCTCATTCCGACGTGCTGGTCGTCAACGTGTCGAGTCCCAATACTCCAGGCTTGCGGCACGTACCTCTCGTTCGCGCGGCAAGTGTTGCTGACTTGGGGTCGTTAGTGGGCTGCAGAACAGGGAACTTTTGGAAACGCTGTTATCTGGTGTCACGCAGGCCAGGGACCAGCTGCCTTCTCCGCGAAAACCAAAGCTGGTGCTCAAGATTGCCCCAGACTTGACTGAAACGCAGCTGATCGAAATTGCGGCGGTCATCGAAAACACCAGCATTGACGGCGTCATCGTGAGCAACACTACCACTCAAAGACCTTCGGACCTCGTTCACCGTATGGCATATCGTGTTTATACCCCTCCATACTGAAGATTTGTGCAGCTAATAAATCCGAAACCGGTGGTCTGTCGGGTGCACCGCTGAAACAATATTCCCTCGCCGCTCTCCGTACTCTCCGCAAAAATCTCCCCGCTCGCATCCCCCTCATCGGCTGCGGTGGAATCTCCACCGGCGCGGACGCCCTCGAATACGCTAAATCAGGAGCGACCCTCGTGCAGGTATACACTGGGTTTGGTTACGACGGTGTTGGTGCTTGCCGACGTATCAAGGATCAACTGGTGGACGAATTGGAGAAGGAGGGATTAACATGGGGAGACGTGGTGCAGAAGGCGGTCTCTGAGCTTAGTTTAAGTCCTCGTGCGCGGGATATTGATGAAAAACTCAAAGCGGACGCAGACCCGAGTCTCCAGCAGCTCATCGCAGAGGCGGAGGAGTTGAAAAGCCTGCTAGACCAATTTGGGGAGCCACCGGCGTAATTGTAATTTGATTTAAAAAAACAACGGAAATTGAAAGAGGCGTCGCGGTGTCATGTAGCTTTACAATAAACTTGAAAGCCAAATAGCCGCTGCTTACTGATCAGGTCCGGATGATCAGAGCAACGGCCACGGTCTCTCTGTTCCCCACCTTCCCATGGAACGACTGACGCACCCCGGCGCTGGGCTCCCGGTGGCGGTTGCCTCGGGCTCTACCAGTCAACCGCCGTCGCTCAAGAGTCCCGTGGAGACGACGCAGGGCAATTTCCGATACGTCCGAGGCCCAAGCGCTGGATCTGTGCAGATTCTCGACCCAGAGACAGAGCTGGAGCTGGAACGGCATGCGGATCTGTGGTTCAAGGTGAGTTTATGTAGCGGCCAGAAACTAGCGTGGCTGAGCACGTCCAAGGACGGGAGTGTTATCTGCCAGGCGGAGAGAACACTGTTCAGAGTCCATATCTCCCAATTGTCGCGTCACTCTGCCCTATTCAGGACAATTTTCACGCTGCCCCAGCCTTCCCGGCCACGCTCGCTGTCGAGTTTCGATTCCCTAGAGGATACACAGGTAATCTTGGACGAGTGTGAGAATTGTCCGGTTGTATTTCTTCACGATACGGCAGAGGATGTCGCTAATTTCCTCGCCGCCCTCTATGATGGCCCGTACGTTGCGGCTCAACCCTTCACGATTCCCGTCTAACCCTTGTTGCGTAGAAATTTCGGTGATAACGGCCGCGCCGATTTTGGCGTCGTTTCCGGAGTTCTTAGGTTGTCCACGAAATATATCGTCGACGCGCTAGCACAGAAAGCCCTGGCCCATCTCAGCATCGCGTGGCCATCCACCCTGAAGGGATGGGATGCCCGGGAGGATTTAGCGCGCTCGTTCGAGTTGGAAACCTCCACAAGCGGCGGCCACTTCTATCCTTCTCCCATTGTACGTTATTCACGCTCGCTTTCCAGACTGTCCTCTTGAACACCGCGTAAACAGGCTGTGATAAACCTTGCCCGGGAAGTGAACGCGCCTTCCCTGCTCCCGGCCGCGTTCTACGATCTCTGTCGGTATTCGTATGCCCAGATATACGAACCGGCCGAAGATGAACCGCTATACCAACCCACGCCCGCTCCGTCTCTCTCTACACTAGACATGCAGCGTCTCGCCTTGGGCAAGGAAGCCGCGCAGCATAATATCACATCCCTCATCCAGACCATGGGCCACGCGCAGACGCACATCCGCGCCCAGACGCACGCGCACATCCGCAAGAACTCCTCGGGCGGCATCTGCGTCTCGGCGGCTGCGTGCCGCAAAGACTTTTCGGAGCTCGTAGATCTCGCCACGCAGCACTATCTCTTTGACCGCGAGCGGGGCCATTGCGATCCGCTCTACGTCTCGGAGGAGCTCGGGCAGCTGAAGAGCGCCGAGTTCTCCGAGTGCAAGGCGTGCGCGCGGTCCCTCGAGCTGTGGGCAGCCCGCGAGCGCGAGCGGATGTTCAAAATGATACCGATCTGGTTCAGGCTGGACTTTTTGGCTCCCGCCGAGCAAGAACCGGGGTCTCCCCGAGCATTATGATTGATAACGACTTTCCTTACCTACTTACATATCCCCATCATCATGTATTCCCAAATCATGTATTCCCAGCCACTCTCATAGCGATTTCGTTGTATCCAACTGAACGGAAAAGTCAAGAAAGACTCAAGATTCAGAGGTACAAATACATTCGTTGGATGTGATGCAAAATGGGCTACATACATCTATTATAGACATCTAAGATTGCAAGCCAGTGATCCCTCCAACGACCCCAGCCGCGGCAATGCGCGTCGCCACGTCCGTCGACGCATCGCACGCGATACTCGTCCCCGGCGAATTAACCAGCGGCAGCGCAGCGCAGATCGTCCCCGCGGAACACGACGTGAGCACAAAGGCACCAGATACACACTGCGCGAAAGACGTGCCGACGCACGCCTCTTCGCCCTCGGCGCAGGGCGAGGTGGCGGTGAGGTTCTGGAACTGAGCATTGAGTTTCTGCGCGTCCAGGCCGTTCTGAGCTTTGAATCCAATGGCAGAAGAGGTAGGGGCGGCGGCTGTGGCGGTCGGGGCCTCCGTCGACGACGCGTCGTCCCCGCAATCAGACTCAGCAGCAGCATCCGCCGAAGCGGAGGCGGAAGGATCAGACTGCGAAGAGCCGTCCACGCCACCAGTAGCACCAGTCGCTGCAATGCGGGCAGCTACATCAGCAGAGGTGTCACAGGTGATGCTCGTCCCGGGCTTGTTAACGAGGGGCAGCGCAGCGCAGACCGTCCCCGAGGCACACGGTGTAAGCGCAAAGTACCAGATACACACTGTGCGAAGGAGGTGCCGACGCACGCCTGTTCGCCCTCCGTGCACGATGAGTTGGTCGTGAGGGTTTGGAACTGCGCGTTTAGCTTCTGGGCGGCGAGCCCGTTTTGGAGGTGGAAGTCTGCAGATGACGAGGCTGATGGAGACACGGCGGAGGCAGCGGATGTAGGAGCAGCAACGGCAACGGTAGATGTAGCGGCTGAAGGCGCCACAGCGATCGAGGTAACAGCGGTGGAAGTCTGTGGAGTGTTGGACGCAGCTGCTGCAAGGGTGGTAAACGGGGTGACCGTAGATTGGCCGAAGGTGAGCTGGATGCGCTTGTCCAGTGGATGGATAGGGGCCGCATGGGCGACAAAGGCCGTCAAGGCGAGGAAGATGGTGGAGAAGAACATTGGAGATTTGAGGGCGGAATGAATGTGGGCCGCGACCTGGCAGGAGTGGGAAAGTTTGGAGCAGCAACTTGCTGTGGCCAGTCCTTTTGTACTCGCCTTCACTCATATATACAATGGCAGGTTCGAAACTAAAGATT